GAGAGAGAGAGAGAGAGAGAGAGAGAGAGAAAGTAAATGTTTGCTTGTTTGCTCATTTCAGCTTTATTCGCCGAGATCACAAGAATCCTGAACCATCTGATGAACATTGGGACGCATGCCCTCGACATAGGAGCTATGACACCATTTTTCTGGCTGTTCGAAGAACGCGAGAAGCTGATGGAATTTTACGAACGCGTGAGCGGCGCTCGCATGCACGCGGCTTACGTTCGTCCGGGCGGTGTTTCTTTGGACATGCCGTTGGGTTTGATGGACGACATATACCACTGGGCCTCGCACTTTGCCGAACGATTGGACGAAGTGGAGGACATGTTGACGGAAAACAGAATATGGGTGGGACGTACGAAAGACATTGGAATAGTAACGATACAGCAAGCGTACGATTGGGGTTTCAGCGGCGTGATGTTGAGGGGCTCCGGAATAAAGTGGGATCTGAGGAAGGAACAGCCTTACGACGCGTACGATTTGGTCGAATTTGACGTCCCGATCGGTGAAAAAGGCGATTGTTACGATCGGTAATTTACGAGAAAATAATAATAATAATAATAATAATAATAATAGTAATAGTAATAAGGAATAAGGAATAACCGAGGATGGATCGGTTCGTTTCTTCCTTGTGTTGTAACCTTGTTGTGTAACATGTTGATCGAATTGTTTCGCTTATTTGTTCTTCCAGGTATCTGTGCCGTATGGAGGAGATGCGTCAGTCGTTGCGAATCATTTATCAGTGCTTGAACCAAATGCCAGAGGGCGAGGTAAGGGTCGACGATGCGAAAATCGTGCCGCCTCGAAGGGAGGAGATGAAAACCAGCATGGAAGCGTTGATACACCACTTCAAGCTGTACACGCAGGGATTCCAAGTACCACCGGGAGCCACGTTCACCGCGATCGAGGCGCCGAAAGGAGAATTTGCCGTCTATCTGGTTAGCGATGGTAGCAGCAGACCTTACAGATGCAAAATCAAAGCACCGGGATTCCCTCATTTGTCAGCTTTGCGCCACATGGGTCCGCGGTGCTTCCTCGCCGATGTTGTAGCAATTATCGGTACTTTGGACGTGGTATTCGGTGAAATCGATAGATAAATTGTCAGATGTATCTCGTAGAAAGTATCACGCG